TCAAATTTCAGATTATACAATTTTCTGACTAATTTTTCGTATTTTTTTTTCCATTTTTCGCTGTCGTTATTTTATAATTTTTGTTTTTTTTTAATTTTCGATTTTCAATTTTTTAGTTCTTCAACTTTATGTTCATACAATTTTTCGATTTGGGAGTTCTAAACATTTAAAAATGTAAAAGTCGAAATGAAAAATTAATAATTGAGAGACTGAAAAATCGGATGACTGAGAAATCGAAAAACTATAAAATTGTAAAATTGACAAGTTAAGAAATTGAAAAATCGAAAAATTGGAAAAAATCGTAAAATTGAATAAAAGGAAAAGTAAAAATTAAAAAACACAAGTCGAAAAATTGTAGACACGAAAAATTTAAAAAGCAAGTAATTATAATCGAGAAAATAAAAAATCGCAAAATTTAAAAGTTGAGAAATCGAAAAATTGAAATATCGAAACATTGAAGACGCGGAAAAGAAGAAAATTCAAGACGTTTTAATTGATTTATTTTTCAAAATGATTTTTTTTTAACTTTTAGTTTCTTCAGTTTTCGGTTTTTCAATTTATCGGTTTTTAAATTTTCAATTTTCCGATTCTGAATTTTACGATTTCTCCAGTCTTCAATTTTTAATTTTTCGATTTGCAATTTTTGGTTTCGGTTTTTTATTTTCTTTATTTTTTCAATTATTCGATTTTTCAATGTTTCGATTTTGTATATGTATATATTTTTTTTCATTTTAATTTTTCCAGTTTTTGGATTTTGCAATTTTTCGATTTACAATTTCTGGAATTTTCAATTTTTAATATTTCATTTTTTGTTTTAGATTTCTTCATTTATCGACCTCTGCGTTTCTGTTTTTTTAAACTTTTTGGATTTTCATTTTTTAATTTACTAATTTTCAATTTGAAATGTTTACATTTTTCCACTTTTGAATTGTTTCCTTTTCGATTTTTTGTTTCAATTTTTCGATTTTATTAGTCTTTCGATTTTTATCTCGTAATTTTTCGATCTTACGATTTTTCGATTTGCAAGTTTTCAATTTAAAATTTTTCAAATTTCTAATTATACAATTTTTTGACTAATTTTTTGCGTTTTTTTTTCGTTTTTTCGCTGCGGTTATTTTTAATTTTTTGATTTTTTAATTTTCGATTTTTCAATTTTTTAGTTCTTCAATTTTATGTTTCTACAATTTCTCGATTTGGGAGTTCTAGACATTTAAAAATGTAAAAGTCGAAATGAAAGATTAATAACTGAGAAACTGAAAAATCGGATGACTGAGAAATCGAAAAACTATAAAATTGTAAAATTGAATAGTTAAGAAATTGAAAAATCGAAAAATTGGAAAACATCAAAATTGAATAAAAGGAAAAGTAAAAATCAAAAAACACAAGAAATTGAAGACACGAAAAATTTAAAAACCAAGTAATTATAATCCAGGAAATAAAAAATCGAAAAGAAAAATCGCAAAATTTAAAAGTTGAGAAATCGAAAAATTGAAATATCGAAACAACAAATTCAAGACATTTTAATTGATCTATTTTTCATATTTTTTTTTAACTTTCTTCAATTTTCGATTTTTCAATGTTTCGATTTTATAATTTCTTTTCAACGTTAATTTTTTTCAATTTTCCGCTTCTTTAAGTTTTCGAAATGCAATTTTTCAGTTGTTTTTTGTTTCTTCTGTTTTTGGATTTCGCACTTTTTCGATTCGTTAATATTTCATTTCTTTAAATTTTCGATTTGCAACGAAAAAAATGCAATTTTACGATTTTGGAATCTTTTCATTTTTCGATCTATAATGTTACAGTTTTTCAATTTTAAAATTTTGACGATCCTATAATTTTTCGATTTTTAAGTTTCTCAATTTTTAGTTTTCCAATGTTTCAGTTTTTCTTCAATAATCTACTGCTGTCAATTTTTGTTTTCTGTTTAGAACCTCTATAAAGTTAAAACCAGTGGAGTAAATAACACTTCCGCAGTTTTTTGACTTAATTTTTCCATTTTTTCAATTTTCCAATTTTTAGATTTTTAGATTTTGCATTTTTTCTTTATTTTTCATTGTTTTATATTTCTTCAATTTTACGATATTTTTTATTTTTGGAATGTTTCAATTTTTTAATTTTTCGTATTAAATTTTAGATTTATCAGTTTCATGATTTTTTAATTTTTCCTTTCTTCAATTCTAGTTTTCATTTTAAATAAGTATGTAATGACAATAATTTTTAAAAATGTTTATCACTTTTTCAATTTTACGATTTTAGAATTTTTCCATTTTTCAGTTATTGTAATTTAAAAATATTTCATTCATTTGACTTTTCAATTTTTCGAGTCTTCATTATTTCATTTCTTCAAATTTGCAATTTTTTGTTAATTTTTTATTTTCATTATTTTTATTTTTTTTCGATTTGCAATTTTTTAATTTTTAATTTTTTTTTCTTTCTCTTCGAGTTTTAATTTTTAAATGTTTTAAATTTTTCGTTTCGTTTTTTATTTTCTTTATTTTTTCTTTTTTTCGGCTTTCAGTGTCATGATTTTATAATTTTTCTTTTCAATGTTCGGATTTTATAATTTTTCGGTTTTAAAATTTTAGATTTTTTAATTTTTCGTTGTTTCAATTTTAGATTTTTCAGTTTCTCGATTTTGCAATTTTTGTAATTCTACTTAGTTTTTATTTAAAATATGTAGTGATAATTTTATTATAATTTTTAAAATTTTTTACTTTTTGAGTTTTACGACTTTGGAAATTCTCCATTTTCATTGGACTTTAAAACTTTTTCATTCGTTGCATTTTTCAATTTTCAATTATCCAATTTCCCGATCTTTCAATGTTACAGTTTTTCGATTTACAATTTTGACGTTTCTATAATTTTTGATTCATTGATTTTTTCGATTTTTCAACTTTTCGAATCAAAAGAAGAAAAAACCTCAAAATTGTAACATTAAAAAAATTAAAAATGAAAAAACTAAAAAGTATAGTATGAAAACTTTGGAAATCTAAAAATTGAAACATCAAGGATTTGAAAAATTGAAAAAACGAAAAATTAAAACACTGAAAGATCAAAAAACTGAGAATCTGAAACATCGAAAAAATTAAATATTGTAAAATTGATAAAATGAAAATAAAAAAAAAAATCAACTGAAAAATCCAAAAATTGCAAAATTGAAATTTAAAAATTATAAAATCCAGGAACTGAAAAATCTGAAGATTGAAAAATTGAATAAACGAAAAATGAAAAATGAAAACAAAAACTTGAAAAATTGAGGAAACGAAAAACTGAAAAATCGAAAAATTAAAAATTGAGAAACTGGAAAATTGAAAATGGAAAAATTGTAAAATCGAGAAATTGCAAAATTGCAAATCAAAAAATCGAAGAAACGAAAAACTGAAAAATTTAGATGTTGAAAAATGGAAAAAATTTAATGGAGAGGATTTCTTCGGTAGATTTTGAAACGACGTCATCAATTTTTTGGGGGTGTAAAAGAATAAATTTTAATAAAATTAAAATTACAAAATATTGTTACACATTTTTTTTCCAAATATCTGGGCATCTGGTTTGAAAACCCAACTCGCCAAATGTATTACTGTAAATTTTGGAGACGACGTCATCCAATTGGTAGTTGGTACTTAACAAAAACATGGAAGCATTGCTTACAATAAAAGAATTACCGCTAAACACAAACATTTGTGGGTTAAAACGGAATCCACGCAAACGGTATTTTTAGTAGCTTCAATTAAACCCGGCAAGTATTAGTACCATAAACATTTCAATCAACGCCCATTTACATAAAACTATTTTAAATCTTTTCAAACACACAATAAGGCGATTGTTTGTGTTGGCTGTTTCTGACGGACTTTCTTTAAATTAATTGTGTGTAGAAAGGAAAATATGCAAATAACTTAAACAAATATGTATAGAATGGCTACTTTGTTGCTTTACACGACGATAAGTGTGTTTGTTGTAGGTAAACCTGGGTGTTTAAACGTCGTTATTAATATTTTCCGTTTTTGGTTTGTTAGGAATGCGCTATTCAAAAGATCAGTGAATATAACTATCAACAACGCATTTACATTGAAAAAGCAGGAATAAATCACTTCGAACGTTCATTCCCTGGACGAAAATAAATACTCGGGGAATTATGAGTGTTCCAGATTCTTTTTAGAAACACTTGTTTATTCCCGCAGTCGGTTCGTCGAAATTTCCATATTTTCGATTAAGAACTTTCGGGATTCGTGAATACTTTCAAAGTCCAAATTTGTAATTAGGTGTGAAAATGAGGGTCAAATAATGCCGACATGCTCGACTTGCGCATGTACGAAACTAAAAATAGGTCTTGGATTGTTTAGAAAATTAATGTTAACAATTCTGAATTTATAGAGGGGTTCTCCCGACCTTCATGACCTTTCGAAATGTATCCATCTCAAAATTATCGCGTTATTAAACTTCAATAACCGACTTTGACCACGTTGTGAAAGGATGCGAGCTTGTTTACCACATTATTTAAAATTCATCACACACAATGCGGGTCCATCCCTCCATCAATTAATTCCACTTTCCCGCTCATTAACACCAGTAATGACACTCCATAAAATGTGAACAACTCTGTTCTCATTAGAACGTTTCCCAAACCCTTCCATCGGATAAAAGTTCCGCTTACGTAACCCGCTTACCAAACGCCTAATCAAATCCGCACTCAATTGAATAGGAAAAAAAGCAGATGTCACTTCCGGTTCAATCATCGCCAAACAAAAATTTATGGCACGAGCTCGCGCGCAGTTCATAATTATTGTAATCGGCGTACTATTTCGAGTCGATGGTGCGGAATCGGGCGAACGCGGTGGCGATTCCGCCCACAACCCAAACAAAATGTTTAGCGCGACTTAAGGAAATTCGATGTCGCGGCCTCCACACCCACGCCCCAAACAAACCATTCCGCCGGCCGATCGGCCGAAATCAGGTGATCGCGGTGGCCAGCGCTCCGAAAAAAGAGAAAGCAACTAGCTCACCTGTCTTTTTGTCGCCATCCTTCTTCTTCTTGTTCTTCTCATCCTTCCTCGTCGAGAACCGAAAACTGGCCAACCGCGAGAAGAACCCCCCCAATTTCTTCTTCGTCTGCTGTTGTTGTTGTTGTTGTTGTTGTTTCGCTTCTTTCAGTTCTTTCCGAGGCACCTCTGCCGCTTCCATAACCGCAACTGCATCGCTCCGTTTGACTTGAGCATCGCGGCCCACCGGCACGTGACTCGTGGGGGGGGCCGGCTCGTCAAGGTCCAGATGGGTGTGCTTGTACTGGACGCCGTCCCCGTCGATGTAGGCCTTGATGATGCACCCGTCGGCGTCCTTCTTGATGAGCTGGGAGCCCCGGCGCCTGCAGCGCACGTCGGGCTGGGACTGGGACAGGCCGGAGCGGAAGGGGACGCGCCGCAGCTCGGGCTGGCTCTCGCTGAGGGGGTGGTAGGGGGGCGGCGAGTACTCGGGCTCGTCGTACGGGGGGAAGGCCTCGCTGAGGGGGCGGAAAGTGCGGCGGCTCTCGGGGACGGGGCGCGACTGCGAGCAGGAGGGCTTGGGCGGCGTGGGCGGCCGGGGCTCGAGCAGGACCTTGGTGAGGGCGTCGAACGACTCGCGCTCGGGGCTGCTGGAGAGGCTGTAGCTGGACTCGCGCTCGACGGTGCTGGGGCTGGAGTGGCTGTCCTCGGGCCAGTTCACCTCGGACACGACGGGGCTGAAGTGCACCTCTTTGGTGCTGCCTGGAAGGTTTAGGGTTCGGGGTTAACTAGTTACAGTTTAGGTCCTTAGGTTTAGATCATACTAGTCACAGTGCAGGAAATATCGCTCGAAAGAATTTATGCAGTATTTCCCTCACACTGAGAGGTGACCTGATGCTTGCCAGGTCATAATGGGTCGGGTCAGTTCAGGTTAAATTTATGAACTTTTTAACCATTTTTTTTTCTAAAATAAGCTCGTCGAGATTTATAACCCAGAATGTTTTCTTGATTTTATGGCAATGTTTCCAAAAGCTCAATTTTTCAGTTTACCATTGATGAAATTTTAGATCATCCTGCAATGACCTCTGAAGATTATCTAGAGATTTATTGAAGTTTTTGACACCTAAAAGTTACTTTCGGCTTCATTTTTTTGACAACTCCTACTGTTGTTCCAAGATTAGCCAATTCCAAAATTTTACTCCGGAACCACAGACTACATATTTTGCGAATTAGGTCGTCGAGATCTTTTTCCCTGAATTTTTTCTGGATTATTAAGCAATATTTCCAAAATCTAAATTTTGTAATATTTTTATAAAATTTTTGACTATTTTTTTGTCCATATTCGAAATTTGGATACAAAGATTCTTTTGCAGAATTTGACCCCAGAAGTTATTTTCGGCTTTATTTTTTCAAAAAATTGTACTATTTTCCTAGAACTACCAACTAAATTTGGGCAATTTTTACAAATTAAAAAAATTGCTTTTCAGGCTGAAAATTTCCAAAATTTTGCTCTGGATCACAAACCAAAACTTATCCAAAAAGAATTTTTTGTGGATTTTGACATCCAGAAACTATTTCCCCCGTTCATTTCCTCGAAAATGTCTACGTTTTTACAAAATCGCCAACTGACCTGTGACCATTTTTAGCATCTTTAAAAAATTTTACTTTCAGAACCAAAATTTCCAAAATCTTGTTCTGAGATCTCAAAAGCACTATATTTTTCGACTTTGTGGAGATCCCAGATTTTTTTTCGATTTTTAGACAATATTTCCAAAATCACAATTTTTTATTAAATTTTTTACATTTGTTTTTCCACCTTCGAAGTTTAGTTAAAGAGAATTTTTTGTAGATTTATATCTCCAGAAGTTATTTTCGGCTTTATTTCTTCAAAATTATTTTACCGTTTTTCCAAACTCGCCAACTGAACTGTGACAATTTTTAGCATTTTAAAAAAAATTTACCTTCAAAACCAAAATATCCAAAATCTTATTCTGAGATCATAAAAGTGCTATATTTTTCGACTTTGTGGAGATCCCAGATTTTTTTGCGATTTTTAGGCAATATTTCCAAAATCTCAATTTTTATTAAGTTTTCTACATTTTTTGTCAACCTCCGAATTTTAGTTAAAGAGATTTTTTTGTAGATTTTTATATCCAGAAGTTATATTCGGCTTTATTTCTTCAGTAACTTCGTTTTTCCAACTAAAGTATGACAATGTTTAGTATTAAAAAAAAATTGACTTTCAAACCGAAAATTTCCAAAATCTTGTTCACAAAGGCGCTATATCTTTCGAGATCTATATTCTAGAATTTTTTCTTAATTTATTGGCAACATTGACTAAAGTTCAATTTTTGCTGCATTTTGGTGCATTTTTTCGAAAATTTCTGCCGTTTTTCCAGAATTGCCAACTGAAATTTTTTTAGGATATTTAACAAACTGTCTTTTAAACGAAAAAATTCCAAAATCTTGCTCCTGGACCACAAAAACTCTATATTTTTCGAATCACTCATCGAGATCTATATTCCAGAATTTTTTTTTTATTTTATTGGCAACATTTTCAAAAGTTCAATTTTTTGACACCCCTTATGAAATTTTCGACCAATTTTCGCCCACCTACGACACTCGTTTATTTATTTTCTTTTGTGGATTTTGACATCCAGAAGTTATTTCAGCTTTATTTCTTCGAAAATTTATACAGTTTTTCCAAAATCGCCAACTGAACTGTGACAATTTTTAGCATTTTTAAAAAAATTTACTTTCAAAACCAAAATTTCCAAAATCTTGTTCTGAGATCACAAAAGCGCTATATTTTTCGACTTTGTTTGTGGAGATCCCAAATTTTTTTTGGGATTTTTAGGCAATATTTCCAAAATTTCAATTTTTTATTAAGTTTTCTACATTTTTTGTCAACCTCCGAATTTTAGTTAAACAGATTTTTTTTGGAGATTTTTATATTTTTATATTTTCATATTCGGCTTTATTTCTTCAATGAATTCGTACCGTTTTTCCAAAATCGCCAACCAAAGTATGACAATGTTTAGAATTAAAAAAAAATTGACTTTCAAACCGAAAATTCCCCAAATCTTGCTCCAGGATCACAAAGGTGCTATATCTTTGGAGATCTATATTCTAGAATTTTTTCTTTATGTATTGGCAACATTTTCTAAAGATCAATTTTTGCTGCATTTTGGCTGCATTTCTTCGAAAATTCCTGCCGTTTTTCCAGAATTGCCAACTGAAATTTTTTTAGGATGTTTAAAAAACCGTCTTTAAACGAAAAATTTCCAAAATCTTGCTCCTGGACCACAAAAACGCTATATTTTTCGAATCACCTCATCGAGATCTATATTCCAGAATTTTTTTCTTTATTTTATTGGCAACATTTTCAAAAGTTCAGTTTTTTGACACCCCTTATGGTAAATTTTCAACCATTTTTCGTCCACCTACGACACTCGTTTATTTATTTTTTTTTGTGGATTTTGACATCTAGAAATTATTTCGGCTTTATTTCTTCGAAAATTTCTACCGTTTTCCGAAAATCGCCAACTGAACTGTGACAATTTTTAGTATTTTTTAAAAAATTTATTTTCAAAACCGAAATTTCCAAAATCTTGCTACGGGATCACGAAGGCTCTATATTTTTGTAATCACTTTATCGAGATCTATTTTCCAGAATTTTTAGTTTATTTTATTTGCAACATTTTCAAAAGTTCAATTTTTTGACACCCCTTATGAAATTTTCGACCATTTTTCCTCCACCTACGACACTCGTTTATTTATTTTCTTTATGGATTTTGGCATCAAGAAATTATTTCGGTTTCATTTCTTCGAAAATTTCGACCGTTTTTCCAAAATCGCCAACTGAACCGTGACAATTTTGAGCATTTGTAAAGAAGTTTACTTTCAAAACCAAAATTTCCAAAATCTTCGAATATTTCGACTTTGTGTGTGGAGATCCCAGATTTTTTTGCGATTTTTAGGCAATATTTCCAAAATCTCAATTTTTTATTAAAATTTCTTCATTTTTTTTCACCTTCGAAATTGAGTTAAAGATAATTTTTTGTAGATTTATATCTCTAGAAGTTATTTTCGGCTTTATTTTTTCAAAAATATTTTACCGTTTTCCCAGAATCGCCAACTAAAGTATGGTAATGTTTAGAATTTTAAAAACATTTTTGATTTTCATACCGAAACTTTTCAAAATCTTGCTCCAGGATCACAAAGGCGCTATCTCTTTCGAGATGTATATTCTAGATTTTTTTTGTTTATTTTATTGGCAACATTTTCCAAAGTTCAGTTTTTTGACACCCCTTATGAAATTCGACCATTTTTCCTCCACCCACGACACTAGTTTATTTATTTTCTTTTGTGGATTTTGACATCCAGAAATTATTTCGGCTTTATATCTTCGAAAATTTGTACCGTTTTTCGAAAATCGCCAACTGAACTGTGACAATTTTTAGCATTTTTAAAAAATTTTACCTTCAAAACCAAAATTTCCAAAATCTTGCTACGGGATCACAAAGACGTTATATTTTTTGAATCAGCTTATCCAGATCTACTCGTACGTCCCAGATTTTTCAAAAGCTTAATTTTTGACACATCTTATGAAATGTTTGGACCATTTTTCGCCCGACTTCGACACCTGGTTATTTTTTTTGTGGATTTTGACATCTAGAAGTTATTTCGTCTTTATTTTTTCGAAAATTTCTACCGTTTTTCTAAAATCGCCAACTGAACTGTGACAATTTTCAGCATTTTAAAAAAATTTTACTTTCAAAACCAAAATTTCCAAAATCTTGTTCTGAGATCACAAAACCGCTGTATCTTTAGACTTTGTTTGTGGAGATCCCAGATTTTTTGCGATTTTTAGGCAATATTTCCAAAATCTCAATTTTTTATTAAATTTTCTACATTTTTTTCCACCTTCGAAATTTAGTTAAAGAGAATTTTTTGTAGATTCATATCTCCAAAAGTTCTTTTCGGCGTTATTTCTTCAAAATTATTTTACCGTTTTTCCAGAATCGCCAACTTAAGAATGGCAATGTTTAGAATTTTAAAAACATTTTTGATTTTCAAACCGAAAATTTCCAAAATCTTGCTCCAGGATCACAATAGCGCTGTATCTTTCGAGATCTATATTCTAGAATTTTTTCTTAATTTATTGGCAACATTTTCAAGTTCAATTTTTGCTGCGTTTTGGCTGGATTTCTTCGAAAATTTCTGCGGTTTTTCCACAATTGCCAACTGAAATAATTTTTTTTGGATATTTAAAAAGTTGTCTTTTAAACGAAAAATTTCCAAAAGCTTGCTCATGGACAGATTTTTTTTTTCCATTTTCAAATAATATTTTCGAAATTTCAATGTTTGAATACTTATAGCTTCGAAAAAGATTTTTTTGTAGATTTTTACAACCGGAAGCTATTTTCGTGTTCATTTCTTCGAAAATTCGTATGGTTTTTCAAGAATCGTCAACTGAAGTATGGCATTTATTAGATTTTTAAGAAATTTGACTTTCAACCGGAAAATTTTCAAAATTTTTCTTGTAGAGACCAATTTCTCAGAATTTTCTTGTTTTTATGGCAATATTTTCAAAAATTCAATTTTTTTGCTCCCTCCCCTTATGAAATTTTCGACATTACTTGTCCACCGCCGAAATTTAGTTAAAAAATTTTTTTTACAAATAGAAGTTATTTTCGGCTTCATTTTTTCGAGAAATCTTTCGATTTTTCCATAATTTTTAGGTCAAGTCAGTTCAAGATTCACTTGGTAGTTTTTAGGATTTAAAAAAATATCTTTCAAACCGAATTCGACATCTTTATTTCAGAATTTTTGTAGATTTTTGGCCAACTTAGAATCTCAAATTTTCATGAAAATTTCGACGTTTTCCGAGCACCTTTCAAAAATTAGCAAAGAACATTTTTTTGAAAATTTCTACACTTTTTCCAAAATCGGCAACCGAAAATTTTGTAAATCATGTCCTAAGACCACAAAGACGCTATATTTTTTTTAGATTTTTACCTGTAGAAGTTATTTTCGACTTCATTTCTTCGAAAATTCTTACCGTTTTCCCCGAATCGCCAGCTGAAGTATGGCAATTTTTGGAATTTAAAAAAATTGATTTTCAATCCGAAAATTTCCAAAATCTTTCTCCGGGGTTACAAAAACGCTATATTTTTGGAATTATCATCGTTGAGACCTGTACCCCAGAATTTTTTTCTTGATTTTTAGGCAACTTTTCCAAAATCTCAATTTTTTAATTGTTGGGAAATTTTCGAACATTTTTCATTCATCTTCGAAACTAATTTAAAAAAATTTTACGTTTGATTTTTACATGCAGAAGTTACTTTCAGTTTCGTTCCTTCGGAAATTCCTACTGTTTTTCCAATCGCCAACTGAAGTATGGCAATTTTTAGATTTTTAAAAAAATTTGACTTTCAAATGGAAAATTTCGAAAATCTTGCTCTGGGATCACAAAGAAGCTATATTTTTCGAATCAGTTCGTCGAGATCTGTCTCAAAATTTTCTTGATTTTTCCAAAAGCTCAATTTTTTAATACTCCCTCCTTATGAAGTTATTTTCGGCTTCACTTCTTCGAGAATTCCTATGATTTTCCAAAATTGCCAGGTCAAGTCAGTTCAAGACAAATCAGTTAGACCACATCAGGTCACCTGGTAATTTTCAGGATTAAAAAAAACGTCTTTCAGATCGAATTTTTCGAAAAAAAAATCACAATTTTTCAATATGACCTTACGAAAATCTCTACTTTTTTATCTTTTATATATAATTAATTTTTGATTTTTGTTTTCATTTTCTGTCGCTTCAATTATTCGATTTTACAGCTTTTTGTTTTGAAAATTTTTCGATTTTCAAATTTTTTTATTTTTCAATTATACTTCATTTTTCATTTTAGTCCCTCGATTTTTTTTCTTTTTTAATTTTCGAATTGTAATTTTTTGTGTTGGCATTTCAATTTTCTGGATTTTTTAACTTTTCGTTTCTTCAATTATGTATTCAATTTGCAATTTTTCGATTTCCCAATTTTTTGTCCTTTATGTATATTTAATTTTTAATTTTCTCGATTTTAAATTTTAAGTTTTTTCTATTTTTCAGTTTTTGAATGTTTTTTAATCCTGTGTGTCCTCAATTATTCGATTTGCAATTTTTCGATTTTACAGTTATCGTTTAAAGTTTTTCTATTTTCTCATATTTTTTTAATTTTCGAATTGCAATTTTTTGTGTAGGCAATTTTAACTTTTTGGATTTTTCGATTTTTCAACTTTTGAATTTTTTTTCAATTTTACTTTTCTTCACTTATTCCATATGCAATTTTTGGATTTTACAATTATTCGATCTTTAATTATTCCATTTTTGAATTTTTTTTCAATTTTTCGATATTTCAGTTCCTGGACTTTATTTTTGAGCTTAAAATTTTTCCATTCTTCAAAAATTGGATTTATGAAGAATGGAATTTCAGTTTCTCGATTTTTAATTATTCAATTTTTAAATTTTTTAGTTTTTCTATTTTTCAATGTTTCATTTATTTATTTCGAACCGCAATTTTTCGATTTTTTTTTGTGTTTTGAATTTCTAATTTTCAAATTTCAAAATGTAATTTTTCGTGTTGTCTATTTTAAATTCTTCATTTATTTTATTTTTTGATTTTTCTATTTCTCGATTTTCAATTTTTCGGTTTTTATATTCGATTTTTCAAATTCTCTAGTGCAATTTTTTGTATTGTCAATTTGAAATTTTTGAATTTTTCGATTTTTCAACTTTTAATTTTTTGTCTTTTCAATTATTCGATTTGCAATTTTTTGTTTAAAAATTTTTAGATTTTCATGTTTTTTTATTTTCATTACTTGATTTTTCATTGTACCTCCTCGATTTTTAATTTCCCTATTTTCTCATTTTTTTAATTTTCTAGCCGCAAATTTCCAAAATTTTGCTCCGGGACCACAAAAACACGAAATTTGAAATTTTGAATTGAAAAAAATTGAAGCTCAATTTTTTAATTGAAATTTTCGAATTTCTCAAGTAATCTAACGTTTACTCCGAACGTTTTGGAGGCTGATAAAGTAGTGTCTAGGTTCAGTTGAGGAACTTCAATTAGGCAGAAAAAGGATACTAGATCACATCAATGAAATCTGCGTGAGTATCCCGCGCTAAAGCCCTGTTGAGGCTATGTCCAGTCTATACTCGTGCAATAAATCTTTCGAATTTTGGCACAACTTGTGAATAATCCAATAGTACATAAATGAAAAAATCCTAAAATAAAAGACTACGTCGAAACTAAAATGTCACGTCAGAATTAGAAATGAGTCCCGATTGAAGAATGAACACAACCAATAAAAGCTTCATAAAAAGAAAAGTAAACCCGGCATTGATTACGAACAATAAAGTGAATTCTGGACTGTTGCCTAGTGGGTCTGTTTACTTTTTTATAACTATGTATTCAGTTTCCGATTTGTTCATATTTACTACCAGTAGCTTAAATTAAATTATTATAGTCGTAACAGCGAGGATGAATCCATTTCTACACCATCTGTGTTTAACACCATGTATTTTTAACACCACACACGAAGGATTTTTGCAAAACTGGTTGAATGCAGAAAAAACTCATCTATGTGAGTTAGTGCCAGAATATTTGAGAAAAGAGTATTGCAAAGGAATCTTTGAAGATCAATGACCTACCTTGGAAGGCGGAAATATAGAAGCAAGAATTTGATGTATCTAGTACTCACCTGATTCGTAGTTGAGGGTCTTGTCGTCTACGTCGGATATACAACTAGTGCTAGTGCTATGGTTGACCAATGAGCTCTTCCTCGGCACTTCTCTTGCTAGATCTTGCACCGATCTTCTTCTTTCTTCTTCTAGTAACAAGTCCACGATCCTCTCTTGCTCCAGCTGGTTCATGACCAAATTCGGAGTACTTACAACATTTCTGTGTATACTCTTCCCTTGTATAGCTCCTGAGCTCCCATAGATGCTACTCAAGTGGGCATCCGCCACACTCACGGAGTTAATACTGTGTATACTCTCCGAGATCGCCTGGAGCACCTTCTTGTCAAACTCCACGATCGTCGTCTTCGGGAGCTTCCTCTTGTAGCAAAGACTCGTCTCGTCGTCGCTCAAATCCACCCTGTTCCTCATAGCCTCCGCATAACTCCCCTCCCTCTTAAACGACGCCATCTCCTGACTGAAGTCCCCCAAGTCCCAATTCTTCGCCGCTATAGAAGTCTTCCTCGGCTCATCCTCCTTGCCCACCAGGTCCAAGTTCCTCGGAACACTGCACACACACACACTGTGTTCGTCCTCCTTCTCGTGCTGGTCCCCATCTCCCCCCCGCAGGTCGGGCTCGCTCGCAGACGTCGCACTATTTTTAACCTGACATTCCTCCTTCTCTAAAATTACCCACTCGCTGCCCACCACGCTCAGGTTCTGACAGCTGGCCCCGAACTTGCCGCCCATCTTCGCGAACCCCTCGCAGTAGTCGTACGCGCCGAAGGCCGGGCTCCTGGGGGACTTCTTCTCCTTCTGGTCGCCGAAGCCGCTGTCCTCGCTGAGGTTCTCCGCGGAGATGATGTCGCGCTTGGGCGCGCCGCGCTGCAGGTTCTCGAAGCTGCGCCAGGCGCGCAGGCTGCCGCAGGACTTGGCGGGCGCCAGGGTGCTCTCGCTGCCGCCGCTGTCGCTGTCGCTGGGGGGCGGCTTAGCGCGCTCGAGGGAGTCGAGGCTGAACTGGGAGTAGATGCTGGGGGAACTGCTGGACGTCTCCTGGCACTGCCTCTCGAGGGTCTCGAACTGGAGGAGGCTGCTCGAGCGGCTCAGGGATTGGTAGGGCTCGTCGTCGAGAGGGCACGGGGGGGCCTCGTGGCGGCGACGCTTGATGGGGCAGGCGAGCTCGCGGTCGGATTCGCAGTCGGTGTCGTCTGAAAAAGGGGGGTTCTTGAATGAGTGCGCTTGTTTTGGTTAAAAATAGGGTGGAGCGGGATTTGGATTTTTAATTATAGATGGATTTGTGGAGCAGTTGATAGCGAGGTTGTCGTCAAAATGTATATTGGAAGTTTTATTTATGAGTTGAAAAAAATACGTGCGTAAGATAGTGTTTTTGTTTTACGAGTATTCGGGGTATGAAAGAATGAGTGTCCCGTTTCCGTCGGTCTGTCATCCGTCTGTCTGTCGACTGTGACGATGTTTATTAGATTAGTACCAATTAACACACACAATTTGATAACGTTATCTCATATAAAAGTTATAAAATTACGTCCTCCTGTACTTATGATTCATGAATCCGCCTTGATTTTTTATCCTAGGCACACAGCAAAATCAAATCATTTTAATTTTAATTTTTTGTTTCTTCAGTTTTTTTGATTATTTCTGAATTTTACAATCTTCTAGTTTTTTGTTTCTTCAATTTTTCGATTTTTTTATTTTTTCGTTTCTACAGTTTTTCAATTTTCCAGATTTTTGTTGCTTGATTTCTTCAAATTGCAATTTTTCTAATTTTAAAATTTTACATTTTTTGGTTTTTTATTCATTTACTTTTGTTTCTACAATTTTTAAATTCTTCAGATTTTTCAGCTTTTTGTTTCGATTAGCAATTTTTTTAGTTCAATTTACAATTTGTTGATTTTTTTCATCTTTATTGTTCAATTTCAAATATATAGATTTTTCAACCTTTGAATTTTTCGAATGTTCAATATTTCGTTTCTTCAATTTTTTTCATTATAATTTTTTTACTTTTCAGTTTAAAACGTTTCAATTTTTCCATTTTTCGAAATGGATTTTTAAATTTTTAAACTCGTTTTTTGAGTTTTCGGTTTTTCAATTTTTGTTCCTTCAATTTTTAGATTTTTCAGTTTTCAAATTTTCAGGTTTTTGTTTGTTCAGTTCTTCGATTTTTCAATTTTCCGAATTTTTTGTTGCTTGAATTCTTCAAATTGCAATTTTTCTAATTTTCAAATTCATCTTTTTTAGTTTTTTAACATTTAAATTTTTTATTTTTTCTTTTATTTAACTTTTCGATTTGCAATTTTTCAATACATATTTCAATTTTAAATTTTTTGGTTTTTCAAAGTTTGAATTTTTTGATTTATCTACTTTTTGTTTCTACAATTTTTCGAGTTTCCGGTTTAAATTTTTCGATTTTTCAATTTTTTTATTCTTTTCATTTTTTATTTTTATTGTCCAATTTCAAATATTCAGATTTTTCGGTTTTTAATTTTTCGTTTCCCCAATTTTTCGATTTTTCAGTATTTTTCATCACAATTTTCCTACTTTTGAATTTAAAACGTTTCAGTTTTTTGAGTTTTCGATTTTTCATTTTTCCAATTTTCAGGTTTTTGTTTCTTCAATTCTTCTATATTTATGATTTTCAATTTTTTATTTTTTCTTTTCTTCAGCTTTTCGATTTTTCAATTTTCCAGATTTTTTGTTGCCTGATTTCTTCAAATTGCAATTTTTCTAATTTTAAAATTTTACATTTTTTGGTTTTTTATTTATTTACTTTTTGTTTCTAAAATTTTTAAATTCTTCAGATTATCGATTTTTCAGTTTTTTGTTTCGATTAGCAATTTTTCTACTTGAATTTAAGATTTGTTGATTTTTTTTTATATTTATTGTTCAATTTCAAATATTTAGATTTTTCAACTTTTAAATTTTTCGGCTTTTAATTTTTCGTTTCTTCAATTTTTTTCATTACAATTTTTCTACTTATGAATTTAAAACGTTTCAATTTTTCCATTTTTTGAAAAGAATTTTTAAATTTTTAAACTCGTTTGAGTTTTCGGTTTTTCAATTTTTGTTCCTTCAATTTTTAGATTTTTCAGTTTTCAAATTTTCAGGTTTTTGTTTGTTGAATTCTTCAAATTGCAATTTTTCTAATTTTTTGAAATTCATTTTTTTTAGTTTTTTAACAATTAAATTTTTTATTTTTTTATTTTTCTTTTATTTAACTTTTCGATTTGCAATTTTTCAATAGATATTTCAATTTTAAATTTTTTGGTTTTTCAACCTTTGAATTTTTTTATTTACTTTTTATTTCTAGAATTTTTAAATTTTTCAATTTTTTGTTTCGATTAGCAATTTTTCTAGTTTTCAATTTAAAATTTGTTGATTTTTCGGTTCCCAATTTTTTCATTTTCAGTTTTTTTCATTCTTTTTATTTATTTCATTAAAATTTTTCTACTTTTGAATTTAAAATGTTTCAATTTTTCCACTTTTCGAATTGAATTTTTAAATTTTTAAACTCGTTTTTTGAGTTTTCGGTTTTTCAATTTTTGTTCCTCCAATTTTTAGATTTTTCAGTTTTCAAATTTTCAGGTTTTTGTTTTTTCAGTTCTTGGATTTTTCAATTTTCCGAATTTTTTGTTCCTTGAATTCTTCAAATTGCACTTTTTCTAATTTTCATATTCATTTTTATTTAGTTTAAAATAAAAAAAAAAATTTTTAATTTTTTAATTTTTCTTTTATTTAACTTCGCGATTTTCAATTTTTCAGTTTTTTGTTTCGATTAGCAATTTTTCTAGTCTTCAATTTAAAATTTCTTAATTTTTCGTCTCAATTTTTCGAGTTTCAAGTTTAAATTTTCCAATTTTTCGATTTTTCAATTTTTTTATTCTTTTGATTTTTTATTTTTATTGTCCAATTTCCCATATTTACATTTTTCGGTCTTCAATTTTTCGTTTCCCCAATTTTTCGATTTTTCAATATTTTTTATCACAATTTTCCTACTTCTGAATTTAAAATTATTTTTCGAAAAGAATTTTTCAATTTTTAAACTTCGTTTTTTTGAGTTTTCGATTTTTCAATTTTTACATTTTTCGTTTTTCCAATTTTCCAAATTTTTTGTTTCTTGAATTCGTCAAATTGCAATTTTTCTAATTTTCAGTTTTTTTTTTAGTTTTTTAACATTTAAATTTTTGATTTTTTAATTTTTCTTTTATTTAACTTTTCGATTTGTAATTTTTCAATTTGTAGATTTTCAGTTTTCAAATTTTCAGGTTTTTGTTTCTTCAGTTCTTCGATTTTTCAATTTTCCGAATTTTTTGTTTCTTGAATTCTTCAAATTGCAATTTTTCTAATTTTCAAATTCATTTTTATTTAGTTTTTTAACATTTAAGTTTTTTATTTTTTTATTTTTCTTTTATTTAACTTTGCGATTTTCAATTTTTCAATTTTTTGTTTCAATTAGCAATTTTTCTAGTTTTCAATTTAAAATTTGTTGATTTTTCGGTTCCCAATTTTTCCATTTTCAGTTTTTTTTTTTATTTATTTCATTAAAATTTTTCTACTTTTCAATTTAAAATTTTTTGGTTTTTCAACCTTTAAATTTTTCGATTTTTCAGTACTTTTCATCCCAATTTTCCTACTTGTGAATTTAAAACGCTTCAACTTTTTATTTTTCGAAAAGAATTTTTCAATTTTTAAACTTCGTTTTTTGGAGTTTTCGATTTTTCAATTTTTAGGTTTTTCGTTTTTCCAATTTTCCAAATTTTTTGTTTCTTGAATTCGTGAAATTGCAATTTTTCTAATTTTCAGTTTTTTTTTAGTTTTTTAACATTTAAATTTTTGATTTTTTAATTTTTCTTTTATTTAACTTTTCGATTTGTAATTTTTCAAGATTTCAATTTTAAATTGTTTTGTTTTTCAACCTTTGAATTTTTTAATTTATTTACTTTTTGTTTCTACAAATTTTTAATTCTTCTATTTTTCGATTTTTCAGTTTTTTTTGTTTGGATTGGCATTTTTTCTAGTAATTTTTTGTTTTTTTGATTTTTTCATTAACATTTTTCTTCTTTTGAATTTAAAACGTTTCAATTTTTTAAGTTTTCGTTTTTTAGTTTTCGATTTTTCATTTTTTGTTTCTTCAGTTTTTAGATTTTTCATTTTTCAAATTTTCAGGTTTTTGTTTCTTCAATTTTTCGATTTTTAAGAATTTCAATTTTTTATTTTTAATTTTTGTCTTTACAAATTTTGGATTCGTCAAATTTTCTAGTTTTCAATTTAAATTTTTTAGTTTCGTAACTTTTAAATTTTTGATTTTTTAATTTTCGTTTTGCAATTTTTCAAGATTTCAACTTTAAATTTTTGACTTTTCAATCTTTGAAATTTTTCATTCATTTACTTTTTGTTTCTTCAATTTTTGAATTCTTCAAATTCTCGATTTTTCAGTTTTTTGTTTCGACTTGCAATGTTTCTAATTTTCAATTTAAAATTTTTTGGTTCTTCGTTTCTCAAGGTTCAGATCTTTCAATTTTTCGAACTTTCAGGTTTTTGTTTCAATTTTTCGAGTTTTCAAGTTTAAATTTTCCAATTTTTTATTTTTTTGATTTTTGATTATTTTTGTTCAATTTGAAATGTTTTTTTTTTATTTTCGGATAATCCTTTTCGATTTTTGGGTTTCTCGGTTGTTAATTTTTCGATTTTTCAATATTTCGTTTCCTTAATTTTTTTCATTACAATTTTTCCACTTTTGATATTAAAGCGTTTCAATTTTCCCATTTTAAAAATGAATTTTTCAATTTTATAACTTTTCGTTTCTTTAGCTTTCGATTTTTCAGTTGCTCGATTTTTAAATTTTCGTTTCTTCGGTTTTTCATTTTATAATTTTCAGGTTTTTGTCTCTTCAATTTATCAATTTTTAGAATTTTTCTTTTTTTTATTTTTAATGTTTGTTTTTACAAATTTCAAATTTTTCGATTTTTTAACTTCTGGTTTCTTGAGTTTTCGATTTTTAAATTTTCAATTTTCCGATTTTGTTTTTTTTCATTTTCCAATTTTCCAATTATGTATCCCAGTTTTCTGTTTTTTGATTTTTATTACGTGATTTTTCGAAATTACGATTTTTTGTTGTACTCACATTTAAAATTGTTCAAATTTTAGATTATACAATTTTTCGACTTTGCAGTTTTTAGATATTTTAGTTTTCGTTTTTTTTCAGTGTTTTCATTTTTAATTTTTTGGATTTTTTATTTTGAAAATTAAAAAATCAAGAAACCAAGTTGAACAATTAAAGAAACGAAAAATCTAAAAACCTAGCAATTAAAATCAAAAAGTAAAATATCGAAAAGAATCATCATCACAATTAAGATAGGGCGGGTGGGCGGGGCTTACAGTTTTTTTTCTTAATATAGGTAGTCTTCTTTTTACAACAAGTAATTTAGAGAAAAATGTAGGAAATATGGATTTTGGAATTACGCCCCGCCCCTCAGTCTGACAACGAATGAAAAATTCATCAGAATTGAGATCGGAGGGTGAAGGTGGGACTTAATCTGTGGCTTTCTGTGTTATTTAATGCACGTAGTTTTTACATAGGTTAAGGACATGTTTCACACAGTTTCTTGTAGTACAATAAAGATTTTGCAATTAAGCTCCGCCCCCTTGGCTCACGACAAATAAAAAAATCATCACAATTGAGAAAGGGCGGGTGGGCGGGGCTCACTTTTTACCTTTGTTTTTAATATACGTAATCTTTTTCTCACAACAAGAGTCAAGGTCAAGTTCAAAATACATTTATTGGTTACATTTTGTGAATATTTTTGCAAACCTCGGCTCAGCCTCAGGCTTCTCAATTTTCGTCCGAACAATAAATCAATCTGGAATTCCACACATATTTTTTTCCAACACCAGTTGAAATATTTTTTGCTAGCGGCATGTGCGCGTTTTGTTTTTGTTGTTGAACCGCAATTACCTCGAGTACAATAAAATTCTTTATTCCACTCGTTACCTTGCGGAATATCCTTTTAAAACGCTACGTTCATAGAAAATATGTGCAAGCTAACCTTAGCGACCCCAATTACGTCATAAACTGGAAGTTGTATGAAAGTTAAATCTAAAGACTATAACCTGAATTGCGATGGTCGAATTTTTTTTGTTTATGTATTCCCATTTAATATTCATTATGCAAATATTTTAGGCAAAATTTAAATTCGATACTGTTACTTGTTGGACGTTCATGAGCTCGTTTTGCGATTTCTTATCGAAAATTTGTTTTATTAGCGCTTTGGAAAAAATTTGAAAGTCAAGGTGAAATAAATAACAATTGTATCTAATTCCATATACGCACTAATTAAATTTAAATTTGGACGCGGTGCGCAACTGACACGTGTGCGCAGTGGTCAGAACAATTCGCACAATTTTTTGAATGATTAGCCTCATTAGCAACCCGAACACTAACAAGGTACTCAGAAATTATCGCTCAAAAATTCCGAAAGTGAGAAAATATATCTTTACCAAATTACCACTTTTTTGTTGCACACATGTCATTTCGTGTCTAATCTAGCGGACGTTGCGCAACGATCCTGGGAACTTTTCTCATAAACTTAGACTTAATTAGTCGCAATAAAAGCAACAATTTAATTTAATGAAGAAATAATCTCCACGATCGTCTCGTATCCAAAATAATATCGTTGCAATACAACGTAACACTTTAAGCCTAGTGGGAACGAACTAATGACTGCGTGACTCCACTACAAAATCTGCAACAATTAAAAAAACACGTAGGTCGACCAAATTCAATTAAATGAAACGTAAACTTAATCCCGTTAAACATCGGTTTAAATGTTTGCGGTTCGCTGAACGACTTTGTATTAAATCATAAATGCGGGATTTAACGTCGGTATTCGTTTGGAAACAAAGTGGATTAGGTAAATGACGGATCGATGGGTTTGGTCTAATTGCGCTTAGGGGAGACCGCTCCAAGGCGAACTCGGAACGCGGAGGCTGGCGCCATCTGTGTGCATCACGACTGACTGAGTGCAGAAATCTGTACCCCCATACGTACTTATAAATAATATACAAATGAGCAAATATTGACTGGCTTTTATGGAGAGACCGCTTGCGATTAACAACTCAATTTGGCGGGTTTGCATAAGTCGTTAGTTTAATTATTGATATTAGCAACGAATGGCTTTTTCCCACAATCAACCTTGCGAGAGTGAACAATGGACGATGAGTGAAAGAACAATCGGAATTAAATGATACGGTCATAATGGGTGTCGTGGAATGACTTGCATGAGGGATTGACACCTTTCGGTGTTTCGTAACTCTTCAAATTAAGAGTTTCTCGTTTGGTGCATGGATACATGTCGAGAATTACATTATTCCGTTGCGACATGGACGCAGAAGTGAAACTGCAATGCTCGATCTGGAATGAAGAAAGTCCAACAAAACGAAAAATATTTCTTCGAAATCGTTTTTGGAAGAGGCGCGAATTTCAATTATCGCCGGTCGTTGGCGAAAGATGTGGTCGTAGAGTTGCCCAATCACGATCTAATTGGAAAATGAAACTTTTACGGCGTTGCATAATTGCACTTTTTCGGTCGCTCGAACAATTGCGACACAAAGGAAGTGTTTTCCGGTGCGCACGCACAACTGACTCGGATTTTTTATGATCGGTACTCACTCGTGGCGTCCATGCAAATGACCGAGTCCGTCTCTGAGTCGGTCGCCAGCCACCCTAAAGGCGAACCTCTCATGTCCGAAACGTCGCTGTCGGAACGCAAGTCGTCGGAAGTCTCTTCGTGGATGGTCTCGAGGTACAGGCAGGGGGCGGAAGTTCCGTGGAGAAAGTACTCGGCGTCTGGGAAAAAAAGCGATTTAGTAAATCGTTGATCAAAATTTTTTACTCTCGGCTTCGGCTCGCGTTCAGTGAGAATCTCTTTTTGTTGATTTATTCCGAAAACAATTGGTGCAAAGTTACTCGCTGTGCTCGCATTTTTACTTCTGTTTTTCCACTTTATTCTCAGAAGTGTGCGGGAAAGAATCTCAGCGAAGTTGTTAGGGTTCTCTTGGAAGAATAAATCTCTAGACTTTAAAAGGATAGAATATATTTAGGATCAGGAAGATAGAAGGCGAAGAATAGAGGACAGAGAACGGATAATAGAAGACTGGCAATAGAGAAGTGAGAGTAGAAGATAGAGAACAGAGAATAGGTAACAAAGAACAGATGATTGAGGACACAACAGAATATGAGACAAAGAACACGCTAGAAAACAGGGAAATGACGACAGAAGAAAGAGAATAAAGAAAAGAGGAAATAGAACAGACAATGGAAGCTAGGGAACAGCGGATAAGGGACAGAGAATAGAAGATAAAGATATGGCCACCGAACAGGATAGTGGGCAAAGAACAGGGTGGAAGACAGAACAAAGCATAGAGAACACAGAATAGAAGACAAAGAATAGCGGATAGAAGGAAGATGGTAGAAGACAAGGAATAGGGGACAGAGAACGAAAAATGGAAATCGGGTAACTTTGATAGAAAACAGAAAGGGGAGAATAAAAGATAAAGAAGAGAGAAGAGAAATAGATAACAGAGGATAAACGACACAGAACAGAGGAACGAAGTTAAAGAACAGAGAATAGGGGATACAAAACAGGAAAGAGGTCAAAGAACAGCTTAGAAAACAAAGGTTATAAGACAGAACAGGATAGTGAAGAGAGAGAACAGAGGATAGAGAACACAGATTAGAGGACAGAGAACGAAGAATGGAAGACGGGTAACTCTGACAGAGAACAGAAAGGAGACAACAGAAGATAAAGAGCACAGTACAGAGAAAGGAAGATAAACGAACAGAGAATAGGAAAACATAACACAGGATAGGGGACACAAAACCAGAAAGAAGTCAAAGAATTAGTTAGAAAACGTAGGATAGAGGACATAGAACAGGATAGTGAACAGAAAAAGAAAGGAGAATAGAGCATAAAGAATATAGGATAGAGAAAAGAAGGTAGTTGACAGAGAATAGAAGATAAAAAACAGAGTATGATGGACACAGAACAGGGGATAGAGGACATAGAACAAGGTAGACGAGAAAAAACAGGTTAGAAAACAAAGGACAGAGGACATAGAACAGGATAGTGGGCAGAAAACAGGGTGGAAGACAGGTAACTATGTTACTGTTACCCTCATAGAGAACAGATAGGATAGAATAGAAAATACAAAAGATATAAGACGAATAGATAATTGAGGATAAAAGAAATAGCACAGAGGAAAAAAGATAAAGAACAGAGAATAGAAAAAAAAGAAAAGTGAATAGACAACAAAGGACAAGATAGAAGACACAAAAGAGAGAATAGAAGATAAAGAAGACAAAATAGAGGATTGAGAACAGAGAATGGACATCAGGGAACAGAGGTTAAACGACTAAAGTAAAAGGATTAAGAACAGACGAAAGTGGACAGATAACAGAAAATGGAAGACAGGAAATAGCGGATAAGGGACAGACAAAAGACAATAGATAACAGAGTTTGGAGGACTTATAACAGAGGATAGAGAACAGAAGGTAGAGGACACAACAAGATAGAGGACCGAGAAGAAAGAATAGAAGATAAAGGACAGAACAGAATAGACGACGAAAAATAGGTTAGAAAACAGGACAGAGGACATAGAACAGGATGGTGAACAGAGAACAGAAAGGAGACTAGAGCATAAAGAATATAGGATACAGAAAAGAAGATAGTTGACCGAGAAGAGAGAATTGAAGATAAAAAACAGAGTATGATGGACACAGAACAGGGGATAGAAGACAGAACAAGATAGATGAGGAAAAACAGATTAGAAAACAAAGGGCAGAGGACATAGAACAGGATAGTGGGCAGAGAACAGGGTGGAAGACAGAGAATAGAGAAAACCGAATAGAAGATACAGTTACCCTGATAGAGAACAGATAGGAGAGAATAGAAAATACGAAAGATAGAAGACAAATAGATAATTGAGGATAAAAGAAATAGAACAGAGGAAAGAAGATAAAGAATAGAATAGAAGAAAAAGAAAAGTGAATAGACAACAGAGGACAGGATAGAGAACACAAAAGAGAGAATAGAAGGTAAAGAAGAGAAAATAGAGGATTGAGAACAGAGAATGGACATCAGGAACAGAGGTTAAACGCCTAAAGAAAAAGGACAAAGAACAGACGAAAGAGGACAGATAACAGAAAATTGAAGACAGGAAACAGCGGATAAGGGACAGAGAAAAGACAATAGATAACAGAATTTGAAGGACTTATAACAGAGGACAAAGAACAGAAGGTAGAGGACACAACAAGATTGAGGACCGAGAAGAAAGAATAGAAGATAAAGGACAGAACAGAATAGACGACGAAGAATAGGTTAGAAAACAGAGGACAGAGGACACAGAACAGGAGCGTCGGGCAGAGAACAGGGTGGAAGACATAGAACAGAGGATAGAGAACACAGAATAGAAGACACAGAACAGCGGACAGAAAACAGAAGATAGGAGACAAGGAATAGAAGACATAGAACTAAGAATGGGAGACAGGTAACTTTGTTACTGTTACTCTCATAGGGAACAAAAAGGAGAGAATAGAAGATACAGAAGACAGAAGAGTAATAAATAACAGTGGATAAAGGACACAGAACAGAGAATATAGGACACCTAACACGGCACAGAAGACACAAAACAGGAAAGAGGTCAAAGAACAGGTTAGAAAACAAAGGACATAGAACGGGACGGAGGATAGACAACAGAAGAGAAAGAAGAGTGAATAGACAGCAGGGAACAAGATTGAGGACACAAAAGAGAGAATAGAAGATAAAGAACAGAAAATAGAGGATAGGGGAAAAACAGAGGAACGAAGATAGATAACAGAAAATGGAAGACAGGAAACAGCGAATACAGGACAGAGAAGACAGAATAGAACATAAACAGCAGAGTTTGGGGGATAGAGTACACAGAACAGAATAGACGACGAAGAACAGGTTAGAAATCATAGGAACAGCGGATATAAGCCAAGGAATAGAGCCCAGAGAATGAAGAATGAAGGACAGGTAACTCTGTCACTGTTACTCTGATGGAGAACAGAAGGAAGAGAATAGAAGATAAAGAAGATAGAAGAAAAATGGATAACAGAGGATAAAAGACACAGAACATAGAAATAAAGATCAAGAACAGAGAATTGAAGACACGTAACACGTGATAAAGGACACAAAACAGGAAAGAGGTCAAAGTACATGTTAGAAAACAAGGAATAGAGGACATTGAGGAGGATAGTGAACGGAGAAGGGGACGGAAGACAGAGAATAGAAGACAGAGAGTAGCTGACAGACGACCGACCACAAAAGGATGAGAATAGAGGACAGAAAAAAAAGAATAGAAGACAGAGAAGAGTGAATAGATAACAAAGGGCGGAATAGACGATATAAAAGAGAGAATAGAAGATAAAGAACAGGTGTGGAGGACACAGAACAGCGGATAGAGGACAAAGAATAGAGAATAGAAAACAGGGAACAGCGGACAGAAGATAGAACATAGAGAATAGCGGAGACAAAACAGAGAATGGAAGACAGGCAATAGAGGATAGAGATCAGAGAAGAGGGAATAAAAGATAGAGGACAGAGAACAATAGATAGAGGAGGGAATAGAAAATAGAGAAGAAAATAGAGAGCAGAGGATAGACGACAAAGAATAGAGGAAAGAGGACAGAGAACAAAAAATGGAAGACAACATAAATAACACAGTTTGGAGGACACTTAACAGAGGATAGTGGACATAGAACAGAAAGGAAAATAGTGAATAAAGAGTAGAGGACAGAGAACAGAAGATAGGGGACACGACCAAATAGTGGACCGAGAAGAGAATAGAAGATATAGAACAGAGTATGACAGTGGACAAAGAACGGGATAGTGGGCAGAGGACAGGGTAGAAGATGAAAAACAGGGGATAGAGATCACAGAACAGTGTATAGAAGACAGAAGATAGGAGACAAGGAATAGAGGACAGAAAATGAAGAATGGAAGACAGGTAACTCTGTCACTGTTACTTTGATGGAGAACAGAAGGGAGAGAATAGAAGATAAAGAAGAGAGAAGAGAAATAGATAACAGAGGATAAAAGACACAGAACATAGAAACAAAGATCAAGAACAGAGAATAGAGGACACATAACACATGATGAAGGACACAAAACAGGAAAGAGGTCAAAGTACATGTTAGAAAACAAGGAATAGAGGATAAATAGAAGTAAAGAACAGGTGTGAAGGACACAGAACAGAGGATAGAGGACAAGGAATAGGGAATAGAAAACAGGGAACAGCGGACAGAAGATAGAACATAGAGAATAGCGGAGACAAAACAGAATGGGGTAATAGAAGATAGAGATCAGAGAAGAGAGAATAAAAGAAGAGGACATTGAGCAGGATAGTGAACGGAGACGGGGACCGAAGACAGAGAACAGAGAATAAAAGACAGAGAGTAGCTGATAGACGACAGACCACAGGAGGAGAATAGAGGACAGAGAAAAGAGAATAGAAGATAAAGAACAGGTGTGGAGGACACAGAACAGAGGATAGAGGACAAAGAATAGAGGAAAGAGGACAGAGAACAGAAAGTGGAAGACAACATAAATAACACAGTTTGGAGGACAGTGGACATGGAACAGGAAGGAAAATAGAGAATAAAGAGCAGAGGACAGAGAACAGAAGATAGGGGACACGACCAAATAGTGGACCGAGAAGAGAGAATAGAAGATAAAAAACAGAGTATGACGGTCATAAAACAGGGCATAGAGGACACAGAACAGGATAGACGGCAAAGAACAGTGGACAAAGAACGGGATAGTGGGC